GAATTTATTTATTTATTTATATATAATTTAAAATTGTGTCATTTATCTGTAAACAGCTGGAGGTCGGCATCACCTATAGACCCTGATGGATAAGCAAAAGAAGATGGATGATTGGAGTTTTAAACATTAGATTTTGCAATGCACCATTAAATAATCAAAATACATGTAAAATGATAAATTAAGTAATTAATCATAGAAATTGGTAAAGATCGGATCATTTTAATTAAACCCTGATGCAGGGGTTCCCAAAGAGCGGGCCGGGACCCCCTGGGAGGTCGTCAAATATTAAGGGGGAGACATGAGATGGTTTTCTCTGATATGGAGGGCCAGATAGGTCATAAAATACATAATTGCTATTTATTTCCTATGAAATAAATAAATTATTTAAAAAAAAAGTATATTTATTTATATATCTATTTATTATCCAAGACATAATTCAAAAATATACTACTAAATTCTAAAGCGCAAAATTAAATAAGTAAATAATCCCATAAATACTTTAAAGTGCATTTAAAATGATACATTTAAATAATTAACAATGCATTTAAACAATTAATATAAAATATTAAACCATCAACTAATTCAAAATAATTTTAAATTGTGAATGAAATAATTAAATCTCCATTGAATAATTACAATATCTATAAAATATTTATAAAATGATTCACTCTCCCGTTAATTTACTTATTATTAATTGTGTTTTCTATTAAATAGTTAAAAATTAATCTAAAATAAGGAATGAAAATATAAAATTTCCTATCAAGTCAATTAAAATTCAAATTAAAAGTCCAGAAATAATTAAATAATTAAAAATCAAATAATTAATAATAAAATAATGCACCATTAAATAATCAAAATACATGTAACATGGCAAATTAAATAAGTTTAATTTATTAGAATAATACATTTATTTAAAAATGCAGTAAAACTGTGTATTTTAATGGGTTATTTTTATTGTTATTTTTGGGTCACAGTCTGAAATGTTCGGACCTCCTGTGGTACATTAATTAAAATCTTCAATTTCTAAACCTGTTGATCCTATTAGGGTCGACAGTAGGCAGATAACGGTGCTGCAGCTTCTGGATTATCATCATTTAAGCAGATGAGAAAAATTAGACGTCTTGATTGATCGTGAACATGATTGAAGGAAAAGAAACAAAGCAAGAAAGAAAAGAAAAAGGCTCCTAGTCTAGTTTTCAGGCTCGGTGGGGGAGGGATGATGATCTGGGCCCTTAGATTCAATAATCCGCCGCTGAACCTGGATCTGAACTGGGTCCCACACAGGAAAATAATCAAAATCTAGTCTTTTTTTTCTTGAATTGAGGAGGCAACAGAGACACTTTGCCAATGGAACAAGATAATTTACATTAAAAATAAGAAAAAAAGTTCATTGTCATATTTCAAATTAACTTATTTTAGTAAAAATCCTCATTCCATTGGCAAATCATTTTATTTACCTACTCAAATGAAGGGTAAATGAACTTAATTTAAGACATTTTGACTTATTTTTAGATCATTTTTGCAGTGCAGCAAAAAATTCTATTGGAAAAACGATCTGGAAATAACTAAAAATGTCTTAAATTAAGTGTATTTACCCTTAATTTGAGTAGGTAGATGAGATAGTTTGCCAATGGAATGAGTATTTTTACTCTGATAAATAAGATAATTAGATAATATGCACTTGAAATTAAACAATGCTATTCTGCTTTCTTTTTCTAAGTGTAAATTGCCTTGTTCCATTGGCAAGATGTCTCTTTTACTACCTTAATCCAAGAGCAAATGCACTTATTTTAAGAAGAAAATGACTCGTCTAGATTTAGATTTTTTCCAGTGCATCTGATTGGCTGAAAAAAGAAAGTTTGCTCAATGATCCAGTTCCAGTCGGATCGCAGCGTGTCTGAAGATGTTATGTTTTTATATTGCAGCAACAAATGTCTCAGAATGATGAGGTCATCTGGAAGACTGAATTATGGGATGGCCGTAGATTTTAACATGAAGTTGTTCCGTTTTGAAGGATGACGGTGTGTTTGGTGCAGTGGGGGTCGGATCGCATTAATCATAGAACCTGGTAAAGATCAGATCATTTTCATTAAACCCTGATGCAGGGGTTCCCAAAGTGGGGGCCGGGACCCCCTGGGAGGTCGGCAAATATTAATGGGAGATGGTTTTTTCCTGATATGGAGGGCCAGATAGGTCATAAAATACATAAATGTGCACTTCAGCAACAGTCTAGAAATAAGTAAAAGATTCTTAAAGTAAGTGTATTTAATCTTAATTTGAGCAGGTAAATAATGGATAATGGTAATTATGGTAATCTCTTTTTACTTTTAAATTAGATAATTAGATAATATGCACTTGAAATAAGACAATGCAATATTTCTTTTCTTATCTTAAATGTAAATTGTCTTCTTCCATTGGTAAAGAGTCGCATTTGCCTCCTTAATTCAAGAAAAAACGGCCTTATTTAGGTTTAAATTTTTCATGTGAATGTCCTAGAAAATAAATAAATGTAGCATAAAACAAGGAGATGCAACATTTATTTATTTATTATTCATCTAATATAATCAAAAAATATACAATTAAATTCAATTTGGCAAAATTAAAAAATTACATGTAACAGTAAAAATTGAAAAAACGTTTAAAATGATAAATTAAGTATCTAATCGCATGATTAGATGCATTATTAGATAATTAACAATCAATTCAAATGATCAATAAGAGAATTAAATATACCTTGCATACCACTTACAAATGGAGTCGCCCCCCGTCCCCGTCTGGATATAGATATTGTGCTTCTAGACCTTCTACTAAGGTCTAGAAGCACAATATCTATATCCAGCCATTCAACAAAGATCCTGCTACATGCTAGCCTCGTGAGACCATCCTGATCTCGCGAGCTTTCAAGGTTTCACTCGCAGATCAGTCTGGAGACTCTCCGTTAAAGAAAATTTGGAGCCGTTCACCAAACGAACGTCCAATCAGCGTTGGCTTTGAGGCGGGTTGAGGTGTGACGCAAAGAGAAGCGCGACAGTTCAGTCTAAAGAACATGGCGGCTTCAGCCGATGAAACTAGCGTTAGCGTGGCTATCGAGCAAGTTTTATCGGAATTACAGAGTATTTCTTCACTGAAAGAAGAGCAAAACACTGCTCTGGAGGCTTTTCTCAGAGGAAAAGATGTTTTTGCTCTTCTCCCGACTGGTTTCGGCAAGAGTTTGATCTATCAATTGGCTCCTCTTCGTCGTCGCTCTGTTAGTACGTCATATGCTACGTTGATCTGATTGGTTTATTTGGCCCGTCTATCACCAACATAGGCCAATCAGCTAACCAGTATTTTCGCCCCTTCCTGAAATTTCTTCAACGGAAGGTTTCCAGATGGATATGCGGAGCAAATCCATCTGGCAGAGTCAGGTTAGCTACATGGCTGTACATCTTATTTTGGCATTTCACCAATTAGATGAGCCCTTTAATGATAATGACCTTTAAATTAAGTTGGAAAAAAACGAACAAGTCAAGAAAAAAAAAGGTAAAAAGCTAATTGAAAAATTAAAAAGTTAATATGCCACGCTAACAATTATATTTAGGTTTATAAACTAAAAAAATGTAAAGTGCCAGTATCAGCATTAATGCCTCTAAGGTTATGTTGTACCAAAAAAATGTGTTTCTTTCCCTCTCAAAATATTTTTCATGAATTTCTTATAGAAGCACTTCTGTTATTTTTCTTAATATATTCGGGCAAGTTGCCGTTTCTTGTTAACCTGACTCCGCCAGATGGATTTGCTCCGCATATCCATCTGGAAACCTTCCGTTGAAGTAATTTTGGGAAGGGGCGAAAATACTGGTTAGCTGATTGGCCTATGTTGGTGATAGACGGGCCAAATAAACCAATCAGATCAACGTAGCATATGACGTACTAACAGAGCGACGACGAAGAGGAGCCAATTGATAGATCAAACTCTTGCCGAAACCAGTCGGGAGGAGAGCAAAAACATCTTTTCCTCTGAGAAAAGCCTCCAGAGCAGTGTTTTGCTCTTCTTTCAGTGAAGAAATACTCTGTAATTCCAATAAAACTTGCTCGATAGCCACGCTAACGCTAGTTTCATCGGCTGAAGCCGCCATGTTCTTTAGACTGAACTTTCGCGCTTTTCTTTGCGTCACACCTCAACCCGCCTCAAAGCCATCGCTGATTGGACGTTCGTTTGGTGAAGGGCTCCAAATTTTCTTTAACGGAGAGTCTCCAGACTGATTAGCGAGTGAAACCTTGAAAGCTCGCGAGATCAGGATGGTCTCACGAGGCTAATTTCTTGTCAATTTTTTTCAAAATATCCATATTTTTTTGAATGTTCCAAAGGCAATAAGGTGTTGTCCTGGATTCCAATAACAATGTTGGCTTGAAGTATTTCACTGAGTGCCATATAAAGGGTTAAATAGTCAAAAATAAATGTTTAAATTAATAATTAAATGTCAGAAAAAATAATCAATTTCTTACAAAATATAACGATTATACACTTTATGGGAAAAGAATTGCCAAAATTGAAGCAGTTTGATGTATTTTTTGGCGGGGGGTTCCGTCTGCAGCGTTGCTATTTTTTGGGGTCAGGGCCGAAAAGTTTGTGGGACCCCAAACTAATTTGTAAAACTCTTAGATTTTGGAGTTGGATGTAACTTTTTCCCATGAAAAAGGTGATTTTGTGCAGTTTAGCGGTTTGCATGAAGCATGGCGGCTCACAGAGGAACCGTTTGTCCCACTTCTGAAAGAAAACTGGGATAAACATAAAGACTGTGCAAAGCTGGCTGATATTGAAGTTGTGCTATCTCTGCAAAAAAACAACAACAACAAAAAAAAGAACCCTGTGATTCACCTCTGAAGGGACTAGTTAACCATCAACCATGGAGACACTCCACCTCTCTGATGGTTAGCAGGACAGGAGGACGCAGGAGGAGGAGGAGGAGGTGAGCTCTGCTTTCAGTCACTGCTCTCCGTTCTGACACCATCACACTAAGTCAGGCCTAAGACCTGTTCTAGTTCTAGGCGGGGCCAGGCCTACAGAGACCAGGGGGGCCGTTATTAGAGGTGTGTGGGGGGTGTGAGAAAAGGAAGAAGGAGGAAGGAGGGGGGCATCAGCTTCTTGGACAAGCCGTTCTGCCCCACTGTCAGGTAGTTGAGATTTTGTTTGCCCAAAGCGCTGGTAGACATGGACATGGCAGACTACAGCGAGGCTCTGGACCCGGCCTACACCACGCTGGAGTTTGAAAACATGCAAGTGCTCCCCTTGGGCGCAGGTGAGTCTCATATATGCAGCTCTGGCATTGAACTTTGAAACTTTTACTGATTTAAAACTGGTGATAATACGGGGTCATTTGTCCATCTGCCCCCTTTCGCTCGCAGAGGGATGACCCTGCCGGCGCTCTTTTATCACCCCCGGGGGTTTAACAGTAAAACATTCAGAGCTCTGGTTTTATGAGATTGCCGTATTTCTAAGGCGCCACGGGGTCAGAGGCTGACCTGTTTCAGCTTGCACCTTGACGTTGGACTGATATTCACCCTGGGATGAAGCAGTAGCCGGAGTATCATGATCGCCCTTCTCTGGTTACTAACCGCCTGTTTCCCACAGCGTTTGAATTATGAAGAAAACCCATAAAGTTCTTTAATATTTAAAGTGACACCAGCCTGTTTGTACAGGCAGTCTCCCATGACAAAATGGGATATGGATCCTGATTCTAAAATTCCCCCCAGTGAGTAAAAGACAAGAAAGTGAAACAAATAGGGCGACTTTTTTTTTTTTTAAAAAGGTGTGAGTTCCCCTCTGTGGCTCGGCTGAAATGTTTTTATTTATCCTAAAGATTTCCACAGAATGCGACTCCGCATTGATTTGGCCTTATGACTGTGACTTTAGATAAAGAGTCTCCAATGATTATCTTCTGAGAGGCAATCAAAACCACATCAATTATCTTCTGTTGACTCAATCCGAATCACTCAGGAAGGTAAAAGACTCCAAGGCGCTCTGCACGATTGCTTTTGTTGGGATTTGCTCCGGCCGTTCACACCTTTAAAGGTCATTGCAGAAAAAAAAAGTGATCAAACATATTCCCACAAACTTGCAGACCCCCCCTCCCCTCCCTTCCTCCTGTTTCACCTTGTCACAGTATACCTCCAAAAGCTTCTCCACCTGATGAGATGTTTTCTCTTTTCACGTCAGACTCCTCGCCGGCTGAAAGCGCCAGCATGAACGCCACAGGCCACCTGGCAGCAGGCAGCCTTTGCGCCATATGTGGTGACAGAGCCACGGGAAAGCACTACGGGGCCTCCAGCTGCGACGGCTGCAAGGGCTTCTTCAGGCGCAGCGTCCGCAAGAACCACATGTACTCCTGCAGGTGAGGACTGACTTTCATAGAAGCTAACCCCAGAATCATAAACTTGGCTCATTTGTGTCGTTTCTTCTCCAAATCGCCCTAAAAAGTGTCTTATATCTATCTTTTCAGGTTTAATAGACAATGCATTGTGGACAAAGACAAGAGAAACCAATGCAGATACTGCAGGCTGAAGAAATGCTTCAGAGCTGGCATGAAGAAGGAAGGTATGATTCCATCCCACTCAGCATTTAATGAAACGTTCCTTCGCTCGGACTCGACACGAGTCAAACCCAAAGCAAACTTTCCGTCCCGATCAGCGCCGCTCAGAGAGCTGTCTCCACAGAATTGATCCGACTCGTCTCTAGGTGTTGCAATACCCAAGAGAGCACGACTTTGTTAATGTTCACTCAGCAGAGCAGTCAAGTCTCTGCGCGGCTTATGCTGAGCAAACATTTCCAAGCAATAATGACCATATACTAATAAACATAATAACCTCTGCAGACTTTTTTTTTCTTGCAGTTTCTCTGGATTCAGCCTCGGAAAAAGTTTTTTTTTTCCCACTTTAGTGCAGAAAAGCTCCTTTAAAGAGGCTCCTGTTGAATTAATACTAATCTAATCAGGTCCTTCAAAGTCAAACCAATCCCAGATCTTAATCTAGATTATAATTTATCTCTGATTTCTGTTAGCAGTGATGTCAGGATTTAAAGCATTCTCCAAAGCAATGCAATGCTTAAGGAGTAAAACAATATTCTGACTGCCGTAGAGCAAATATTTTACAGTTTTAGTCGTGTTGAATGTTACTCCTGGCATTTATTTATTATATTTTTTATTTATCCCTTGGGATTACTCCTTCAGGGAAATTCTGGTTCCAGTGGCAAATTGTCAAGCCCCCCGTTAGAGAATATAGCCTTACTAACACACCGGAGCAGTAGGCAGCTGCAGGAGAATCAGGGATCAAACCCACGACTATCAGACTGTAATAAAACTACCCAACCCGCCGGGCTGCAGAAGCCTTTATGATCTGCTGAAACTTCCTGGTATTTTCAGACAGAAACTTCCGTGTTCATGATTGGCTTTTATTCGGGGTCCCTCAGGGCTCCGCTATAAAACGTGTCTCATTCTACCTCCGCATAGCCACAACCGGCCAAATTATTAACAACTTTGGGGGTTTTTTTTGTCTATAAGCAGTTGCCAAATTGAAATTGTTACTTTGAGCATTGCACAAAAAAAAAAAAATATATAGAAATTTAGCAACATTTATAACTGTCAATAATCACATACACTGTCAGGATCTAGTCGACCGTACAAGAAATAAGTGGAAACGCAAACTCTATTTTTCATGTTAGTGTAACAATTCAATTCAGTTCAGTTTATTTCTATAGCTCCAATTCACATCACATGTCACCACCACCAGATCATCCAGTCACATTAATTCAAAGTTTTCCATCTAAGGAAAACCAGTTGATTGCATCGACTCATTGACACGAGGGCAATCCCTCACACTAAGCATGCTTGTAGCGACAGTGGAGAGGAAAAACTCCCTTTTAACAAGAAGAACCAGGCTCAGTGTGAGCGGCCATCTGCTGAGGCCCACTGGGGTTGAAGGAGACAGAAGCAGACATAGAAAAAGAAGCATAGATACAAAAGGCAACTGTCAACCAGCTCCACAGGCGGCCCCGTCCAGGAAACACACAGCCAGGCAGACGAGCTCCGAGCCAGCTCCCATGTCAGAGGATGAAGAGAGCACATCCAGCCACCAAACAGAAACAGGACTCCACTGAAAAACAGGCAGATACACTAACACAAACGTTTTGTTGCATATTTGCAACAATAGGCAGTAAGGGGATAAAAACAATATAACACAGAGGAGAGCTAGTTGTATTATTTCTTTAGGAACTTCATAATACACTTTATCAAAGTGCCTTGTTTTTCGGACATCAAAAGATGTCAAAATGAAAAAGAAGTCCAAATGTGACCTTTAAGAATCTGGTCTCAGGATGATACAGGGGGGGGACATGTCCCCTGCCCTTTTTCAAACATCCTTTTTGGTCCCCTGCACATTGTACTGTCCAAAAACTACAGTATGTTACGCTACAGTACACAGACATTCGTCAAGCACTAGGACCAAGCGGAAAAACGCGTCTCAAGCTGAGGCCCGCTTCCCTGTATTTAGCCCACCCAAAAGCTCCTGATTGGCCCACCGTCTTTCCTTGTGTGATTGGCTGTCATCGCTGTCACTGCTGAGAAGCTCCCTTTACTAACAGGCCAGATGCATCACTGCATTTGATTGGTCATTTACTTTAAAAAAACTCATCTGAAATGGTTTCTTTCTCTGCTTTGGTGTAAAGATGTATATTCAAAATGATCAATCATCCTTTAATTGGTTTAGGATGGACAGTAATGGCCGATGCTTCATCAACCGTTACTATCCAAACCTCTGCAGTGAGACACATGGCTAATGTCCTCAACTACTAGTTTCTGTTATAGTTCATTGATGGAGCTTCTAAATACCGGTACATTAGAGCCGCTGTTCTGTCAGACCAGCAAACCTATAGTCAATATGCATGCACAAGACACCGGATATGCTTTTATCCCTTTAGTTTTGTACGAAAAATATACTTTAAACTACCTCAGTGGGCGTGTATCCCTTTCGTCATGTACAAAAAAAAACAATTTAAGGTCAGATTGTCAAACGCTCCAAAAAAAACCTTCAAAAAGTAGGTGATTAAATAGTCTTGTCAACTACTACTCAGCAACTACTTGCTTACTAATAAAATCCAATATTGTTGTATCTTTAAAGCTTATGGCTAAACTTGTATATTGATTAATTAAATATATTAACCTCATTTTCGATACATTTAAGGTGACCAAACCCAGGTTTAATCTCTACCAGAGATACAGATTCAAGAAATCACTTAAATATGACCTCTCTGAAAACAAAAAGTAAGAATCAAGAATCAAGAATGGATGTGGAACTAAATTAATAAAAGCTCTCAGTCTGAAAGGGTTGGCAAAAAATGGCCTCTGTTGGGAGCTCCAGGGAAAAACGGAGCTCCCAACTCATCATTGTCATACAAAAACATCTTACTGCTTCCTAAGACTTTTAGGAAAACATATTGTGGAATGACGATATTGTGGAGTAGAAATGGGGATTTGATCAAGTATGGGTTTTCATCTCCACCGCAAAGTCCCTGAGTAAATGTCCATTAGAGATTTCTATGGTGTGAATTTAATTCAATTATTGTTGCAGGCAAATAACATGTTATTTTTTTAAATGGAAATTTGACGAATAAAATGCAATTTAGAAATAAAACGTTATAAAAATACTTCCTAATTAAAAAAAAGTCTTAAGACTAACTATTCTCTTTTTTTAGATTTGGTTTTTGAAATTATTTTTGCATTATTTATTTATTTTTACAGATATGTTGTTTTTTTAAACACATTTCTCTTTTTCAGATTACATTTTTAAAATGGCTGCCTTTTTAATGTGCATTTCACAGTTTACATTGTGTTTACTTCAAGCCCAAAACAAATGCTCGCACTTGTAGACACATCTGTATCTCTGCTTCTGTCTCCTTGAACCCCAGTGGGCCTCAGCAGATGGCCGCTCACACTGAGCCTGGTTCTGCTGGAGGTTTCTTCCTGTTCAAAGGGAGTTTTTCCTCTCCACTGTCGCTACAAGCATGCTTAATGTGAGGGATTGCCTTCGAATCAATGAGTCGATGCAATCAGCTGGTTTTCCTTAGATAGAAAACTTTGAATCAATCTGACTGGATGATCTGGTTGAACTGGAACGTGCCTTGAGATGACATGTGTTGTGAATTGGAGCTATAGAAATAAACTGAACTGAATTGACCGATTAAAATGTTGTTGCTGCTTTTATTTTTTTTAGGGAGTTTTTTCGAAATTTTATTTCCAGACTATTTTCAAAGATCCTTTTACAAAATCGCCTATAATAATGAATCAAACTTCACTCCATATTTTCCTATTCAGTACAAATGTTAAAGGGGGTTAACTGTTTCTCACCCAAATATTTCTCCCCTCCTCAGCTGTACAGAATGAGAGAGACAGAATCAGCACCAGGAGATCCAGCTACGAAGACAGCAGTTTACCGTCCATCAACGCACTCATTCAGGCAGATGTTCTATCGAGACAGGTAAATCCTCCGAATACATCCAACACCCGACTGCCACCGTTCATTTGTGGCTAAATCGGCGTCTCTCTGCACAGATCACGTCGCCTGCACCCATACTGAACGGGGACATAAGGACCAAAAAGATCGCCACCATCACCGACGTCTGCGAGTCCATGAAACAGCAGCTGCTGGTCCTGGTGGAGTGGGCCAAATACATCCCGGCCTTCTGCGACCTGCCTCTGGACGACCAGGTAAGGCTCATACGGAGCACCAGGAGAGTAGGTGAAAAAAAAAACATTAAAAAAAACATTTAAATCATAGCTTTAGAAGTCCAATTTAAAAAGGATCACATTTTAAATTAAAATCATTAAGGAACATTTTATTTAACAATCAATATTAAATACTGTAAACTTGAAAGTAATTTCTAAATGCTATTTCTATGGAAATCACAATTTATATATTTTTAAATCCCTTTCCTTGTCAAACATTAAAAAAAAGTAATTCCTTTATCTATTTTTCCATATCAAATTCTTTTCAACTTTCCATTAGGAAATAATTTTAGCAATTTAATTTTGTTAGTTTTTTTTACTTTACCCTCTTAATTCTTTACTTTACGCTCAGTAGTTGTCCTTTTTTATTTCACTTCTGTGTGATCCTGGATATTATGCTGTTACTAAAGCGGCCATAATCTATCTCTAAAATATTAATACGCTGAAACTAAACTGCTGATCGCAGAAATACTTAAAAAGTAGTTTTAAAATTAGGTTAAAATAAGTATTTTCAAATCCAAAGTGAAAAACCAAATGGAAATGGAAAGAATTGTTACTTTTTTAAATGTTTATAAGGAAAGGTAAGGATAATCAGATTCATAAAATGTGTTTGTTTTTTTTTATTTCCAGTTTGAAATAGGATTTAAGAGTAAAATTTTCAATTTGCAGTATTTACCAATGGATTGATAAATATATTTAACAAGTCCTCCTTAATAATTAGATGAAAAATATGCAGTTATACACTAGAAAAAATCGAAATCTAGATCAGTCATTTTTTATTAAAATAAGTGTATTTGATCTTGGATTGAGGAGGTAAAAGACTAATTTTGCCAATGGAACAAGACAATTTACATTAAAAAAATTATTTCAAGTGTTTTTTTTTATCTAATTATCTTATTTTAAGGGTAAAAATACTCATTCCATTGGCAAACTATCTCATTTTCCTACTCAAATTAAGGGTAAATATACTTAATTTAAGAAAATGTTACTTATTTGTAGATTGTTTTTCCAGTGTAAAATCCTTTTCAAATCCATGATTTAAATGTTAAAGTGTTTTTTATATTTTTCACTGCAGGTCCTCCATACATACACAGACAGAGAGTACATAGTAGTATAGCCAGTCTGGTCACTCATCAACCAGTTCACTCCCATCAATAACACGGGCGGAAGGAGCGACATTTCTATTGGCTCACAATCGTTCCTTCCTCCATAAAATAGCAATTGGTGGGAAAAGAAGGAGTGTGAGGCAAACAAATGTCTAAGAAAAACAAGGCTGCTCTTCAACTTTTCAACCAGAGGGGTTAATGTGTTTTAATCCCTGGTTAGAATATGATGAGCTGGGTTTTTAAAGTTATATCCCTCCTCGAAAACGTCCACAATCATTAACAGCGTGATCACCAGGCATTAGTCATTGATTTGCTGATGATGGTGGAGAATTGGAGCATGCCTCTGATTTTGTTCTGCCTTCACGTGAGAGATCTTCGGGACGAAAAAAAAAAAAAACATAAGCCGTTTCTCAATTCAAAATGTTCATGAGAAGAACACAGGAAAGCGTGGACTCAGGGAGAATGGGAGCACGCACTGTCACTACCTGATCCGTCTCGGAAGCACGATCCGTTCTGCACCATCGGCTCATTTGTGCATCCAGATATACATCCGGTTCGCCCTCGATTTTATTTAGTTAAAAATACCTAAATGATATTTTTCCCTCCCGAAAAATTGTAAATGTACTAAAATACAATGTGTTACAGGTTAATAATGTATTTCCTAAGAAAAATAAATGCCTTGAAATCGTTTCTGTTTCATCAGTCGTCTGTGAGCGATCTGGACTGGAAATGGGATCCTACGCTACTTCCGGTGGCTAACTTGTTCGGCTTTGGATTTAAACATAAATCTAGTATTTTTTTCGCTTCTTTTGGTATATAGTGCATAATCTAAAGAAAGAAACAGCTAAATTGCAGATATACATGGTTTAATCATATTTTACGGGACTGCTCTGAGCGTGTCTCATACGGAGCCCCTAAAGGGACATGGAGGCAAAAAATAAAGTTTTGCGAGATCTCGCAATACTTTTGTGAGATCTCGCAAAAAATAAACTTTTGCGGGACATGGAGGGAAAAAATAAAGTTTTGCGAGATCTCGCAAAAAATTAAGTTTTGCAGGATCTCGCAAAACTATTGTGGGATCTCGCAAAAGTATTACGGGATCTCGCAAAAAAGAAACTTTTGCGAGATCCTGCAATATTTTGAGAGATCTCACAAAACTATTGTGGGATCTTGCAAAAAATAAACTTTTGCGAGATCCCACAATACTTTTGCTTGATCTCGCAAAACTATTGTGGGATCTCATAAAAGTATTGCGGGATCTCGCCAAAAATAAACTTTTGCGAGATCCCACAATACTTTTGCGAGATCTCGCAAAAAATAAACTTTTGGGCATAAATCAAAAATATCTGCGTCATACCTGCGATAAGCTAACTGCGACACACTGCTGCGGGAGGATAACCAGGCCTTGAGGCTCATGACATTTAACAAGCACACAAGAACGCACAAGTACACATATTGAGAAACGGCCATATTTATCAATCTGCGACATGTTTCAATCCAGGTGGCGCTGCTTCGAGCTCATGCTGGGGAACATCTCCTGCTGGGTGCAGCTAAGAGGTCCATGCTCTACAAAGACATCCTCTTATTAGGTAAAAAAAAAAAAAAAAAAGACACAGGTTTCAGCAATTCTTCATCTTCAGTATGTTCTGGGATTTAATTAAAATGTGCTTGATTGGCAGGAAATGACCACATTATTCCCAGAAACTGTCCAGAGCTGGAGGTGGGCAGGGTGGCGGTGAGGATCCTGGATGAGCTGGTGCTTCCATTTCAGGAGCTCCAGATAGACGACAATGAATACGCCTGCTTGAAGGCCATCGTTTTCTTTGACCCAGGTACTTTCATAGCCATGAAAAAAAGTGTTCCACTGCATAGAAATACATCGCAAAAATCTATTTCATTATGTCCTTTTTATTACTCTCAGACGCGAAAGGCCTGAGTGACCCGGGAAAGATTAAGCGAATGCGATACCAGGTCCAGGTCAGTCTGGAGGACTACATCAATGACAGGCAGTACGACTCCAGGGGCCGATTCGGAGAGCTCCTTCTGCTGCTGCCGACGCTACAGAGCATCACCTGGCAGATGATTGAGCAGATCCAGTTTGTTAAACTCTTTGGCATGGCAAAGATCGACAATTTACTGCAGGAAATGCTTCTTGGAGGTGAGCACTTTAAGCAGTAGGGAAATCATATTTAAATGTCAAATAAATCTGGCTTAAATATGTGTATAAATGTACTCTTATCAGACGATATTGTCCCAAAATGTATAAAATTTATATTTTTAAAAACATCCTGTCTTAAAATCTGTGGGTTTTTTCGTTATCTTATGCAGGCCAGTTAGTTATATACGTCAGCCTGAACACCTAAATTCGTAGCCTCGTGAGAACATCCTGATCTGGGGAGAAAAGCCTCCAGAGCAGTGTTTTGCTCTTCTTTCAGTGAAGAAATACTCTGTAATTCCGATAAAACTTGCTCCATAGCCACGCTAACGCTAGTTTCATCGGCTGAAGCCGCCATGTTCTTTAGACTGAACGGTCGCGCTTCTCGTTGCGTCACACCTCAACCCGCCTCAAAGCCAACGCTGATTGGACGTTCGTTTGGTGAACGGCTCCAAATTTTCTTCAACGGAGAGTCTCCAGACTGATCTGCGAGTGAAACCTTGAAAGCTCGCGAGATCAGGATGGTCTCACGAGGCTAGGTCGTGAGAGGCTGATCGCCCTTTTTTACCAGCTGTACACTACACGACACACGATCAGGGAAATCAAAAAATCCTTGCACGACTGGAAAATCAGCCCGAAAAGGGCAAAAACAATTGTACAGTATATGCCAGACTTAAGAAACACTCACTTTTTAATCACTTTTAGCTGTAAATTGCCATTTTTCTTAATTTCCACCTTTTTTCCTATTGCTGTGTTCTTCCTCAGGTTCGGCTAACGAAGCCCCGCATGCTCCCCACTCTCTGCACCCCCACCTGGTTCAAGAGCACCTCAGCAGCAACGTTATAGTGACCAGCAACATGCCGACGCTGATCCACAACGGCCAAATCTGTAAGTCAACTGCAAAAAACATCTAGAATTAGGTAAAAAATGTTTTACGCTTAATATGAGCAGGTAAATAAGATGATCTGCCAATGGAATCAGTATTTTTACTCCTAAAATAAGACAAAGCAATTGTTCTTTTCTTATTTTAGATGTAAATTGTTTTGTTCCATTGGCAAAATGTCTCATTTACATCCTCAATTCAAGAAAAAATGCATTTAATATGAGCAAAAATTACCTATTTTTGCTAATTTATGTGCAGTGTGGATGGAAACACAAGCATTAAAATACTAAAAAAGAAAAAAAATGCATTTTTCTTTGCCACTTTCAGATTTCATCACATTATTGCTTCCTATAGCTATATAGAAAATGAAGATAATGCAGGATTTGTTCTTTAATTACATAAATATTAATCCCCAAACTCTGGTATACGTCCATATTCAAGTTTTTCTCTTATACCAATGAATCAAATCTAGTAAAAATAATTAGCAAATATTGTTAAAGAGAGTTTTCCACTTTCCTTTCTTCAGTCCTTAAGTCAACATCCCCACATAGAGAAACATGGTGAAACCATCACACAAAGAGGATGCTTGCTGTAGAAGAAAAAAAAGTCAGTCAGAGTAAACAAGAGAACATCCATCCATTTTCCGTCCCTCTTATCCCTAGCGGGGTCGTAAGGGGTGCTGGTGTCTATCTCCATCAGTCTACGGGCGAGAGGCGGGGTCCACCCTGGACACGCCGCCAGTCCATCGCAGGGCAACACAGAGACAAACAACCATTCACTCACAATTCATTTAGAGAAGCCAACAAGGCCGGTTCTAGACAGGGGCCAACGGGGGCCAGTGCTCCTGTATATCATGTCCTGGCCCCCATTATGGCCCCTGTACTGAAGACATAATACTTAAAAGAAATTCTAATGAAGATATGCACTGGAACAGACATGGTTACTGATAGCTCCTTTGATTCTATTTCATTGTTTTTCTTTACAAATTCTTGTAAAGAAAGAATTTTACTAATTATTCAAAAACAATAATATTCCAGTTTTCATGTGTTAAATGTTTTTTTCCACAACAAATAAAATAAAATGCTCTAATTATTATAGATGAATTTAATAGTTTTTCTTGAGTTCTAATTCAAGTTTATAGAAAACTAGTTTTAACTTGAATTAAGTCAAAAAAATAGGTAAAATTCCTACATTTTAAATGTATATTGATTGAAGAAATAGAATCTTTATTTAACCTCATTGAAAAGAAATTACCCTTCATGCAGCTCTCTTAATGTATTTAAATCCCTTGCCCTGTTTTTTATTTCATGCTTTTCTAGGCCCCCATGAAAACACGCTGGCCCCCTCCTGGCCCCCTGGTACATTTGGTCTAGATCCGCCACTGGAAGCCAATTAACCTATAACACTGCAGAAAATATCTAAAAAAAAAGCCTAAATCTCTTATATTATGTGTTTTTACCGTTAATTTGAGGAGGTAAATAAGATATTCTGCCAACAGAATGAGTATTTTTACTCTTAAAATAAGATTATTAGATAATATTCACTTGAAATAAGACAATATAATTGTTTTTTCCTATTTTAAATGTAAATTATCTTTGTCCATTGGCAAAGTGTCTCGCTTACCTCCTCAGTTGAAGAACAAATGCACTTATTTTAAGAAAAATTACTTATTTAGATTAGTGTTTGGACTGTGGGAGGAAGCCGGAGTACCTGAATAGAACCCATGCATTCGCAGGGAGAACATGAAATCTGTGCAGAAAGACTCAAGCCAGGAATGATGGAGATGGAGATACATAAAGAAAAATTCTGGAGACTCTTAGGAATTTCCCACTGCAACACCCTGGCACTCACAGCGACGCAAACATGGCAGCCATAGCTTAATACCAAGGGTCACACAGACGCTAAATGGAAAAGGAAAACTAAAGAAGAACATGAATAAAGTTAGGCTTAAAATGGTTCCATCCCAAATAAACAAATGAAGAGTCTGATGTGTAAAAATGTGAGGTAGCTTAAGCTGCAGCGATGGTTTTGGAAGGCATTGATCAGGGTCCCATCTGGGGCTTTTCTATGGAAGCAAATCCTTACCATATTTCAAATGAAAAAGCATTTCCAGAAATGCTTTTTAAGAATGTGGCTGCATTGTTTGACTCATAAATTAAATTAGTAATCAATCATCCTATTTGCATTTTCTTCTTCAACACCGCTCATCCTTTTACTTAATTAAAAAGAAAAAGACATTTGAGATTTATTTTTCAAAATGCACCCCAGCAAATACATACCAAAATTCAATTTGAAATTTAAAATTTCTGGAAATGCTTTTTCATTTGAAATATGGTAACGATTTGCTTCCATACTTTTAATGGGAACGATAAGGCCAAAAATGTCAGGAGAAAACAGAAAATAATCCTTTAAACTCTCCACGCAAACTAATCGGCCTTATTCTGTCCAAGCAAACTCCTGTTATTCTTTCCCAGCATGTTTAATGCTCTGAGAAATGTCACCCTTTCACTCTTTCTCTGCATAAAAACTGATCAGCCCCCTCAAGCTTGCCCCACTTTTCCTACATACTGCCGTTCTGCCTCTAACCTTCTGTTTGATTTTGATTTTTCAGCCACTCCTGAAACCCCGATCCCGTCTCCACCCACCGCCTCCGGATCAGAACATTATAAAATCCCTCAGGGCGTCATCGCCACGGTGCCAAAACAGCCGACCTCCATCCCCCAACCAACCATCACCAAGCAAGAGGCCATATAACAAAAGCTTAAATCCTTTCTCTTTTATGCTTTTTTATATTGTGAAAACTTTATACTTAGTCAGCAATGATGTTGGCAACTTCAGAGTAGCTAAATATATATATATATATATATAAAATGTAATTACAAGCTCCTTACAATAGCCTTCAGGGACATATTTGTACATAAAATGCAGCCGTGGCTGCAGGATGAGTCCGAAAAAAATCGACCTGCTTTGCAGTTTTTCCAGGCATTTACGGTTCTGTAAACGCACGTCATCATCAGATGACATATGCATGCGCAGCGAGGCTCATCGTAGCCGTGGCGACGTGATCATGTGAGTATTTTATGAATGTTACAACAAGCCTTACATTTTCATACATTTAATGTAGCACGGTTCTTTGTTTATTTGGTGATAAACTTAGAAGCTAAAGGAAAGCCCTTGAAAAAGTTCAGCTTTTTAGGGTTTTTTTTTTATTTATGCAAAGCTGAATGCATATTCACATGAAAGAATCTAAAAGACCATATTTTGTAAATTTAGACCCATGATACCCTGGCTTGGCACACAGTTTCCCAATGATGTGTTGTGTTAGTTTTACAAAAAAAGAAAAGAAAAAGAGTTTATATATATATATATATATATATATATATATATATATATATATATATATATATATATATATATATATATATATATGATGTATATTTCCTATAAAATGTGCCTTGTAACCTGAACTGCCTTACAAACCAGGAAGGGTTTACCTTACAATGTGAAAATGACTGAATAAATCTTAACGTCTATTTTTACATTGCATTCTTTTGCTGATTATTTTTATTTGCTCGGGTCGTAAAAGATGCTTTAACAGAGGTGCGGGGGGGGGGTTATGAATGGCTCCAACGTGGCAGTCTTGCTTGGTCACTGATAAACCGATAAAGTGTTGTAAAATCATCACACATAGCACTCACAGCGACTTCAAAGACACATTTATACATTCCAGCCCGACATAAAAAGGTGTCTGCTCTGCTGAGAACATGTTTACTGTAAAGGTAGGAAGAAAAAACGATATGGCAGCCGTTTGCTTTCCCTTTGCTGCAGAGAGCAGGCAAAGACATTACATTCAGCTTCTATGATGGAATAGATTCCAGTAAGATTTGGTGGTTTTATCAGGACGTAATAAAAATGATATCTGTTGGTTTTACTCTTTATTTAAAGCTTTTAAAACTCAATTAAATTCAGTTTATTCATATAGCATTAATTCACACACTGGAAAAAAATCTAAATCTAGATAAGTCATTTTTTCTTAAAATAAGTGCATTTGTTCTTGAATCAAGGAGGTAAAAATCACATTTTGCCAATAGAACAAGACAATTTACATTTAAATTAAGAAAATACAATTTTGTCATCTTATTTCAAGTGCATTTTATCTAATTATCTTATTTTAAGAGTAAAAATATTAATTCCATTGGCAGATAATTTAATTTACCTACTCAAATTAAGGGTAAATACACTTAATTTAAGACATTTTTACATATTTCTAGATCGTTTTTCCAGTGCAGCTAAGGCTGAAACAATTAATCAGATTAATGATAATTAATTGATTATTGAAATAATTGTTAACTAATTTAGTAATTGATGAATCATTAATTGGTGTATATAGACTGTAAAACATGCCTTTAGCTGTAACACCTACCCACTTAGAGCAGTAATTATACCAATAAAATAATATGTAAATATTTTGCATTTAAGATTTTAAAAAAGCATTTCTAGAATTTTAATTGGGTAAAAAGTCTTCTTTCGGGAACCATTGGATATCCGATTATTAACTGATTAACCGATAAAATAATAATAACACTAATATCACTGCAAAAACGATCTAAAAATAAGTAAAAAATATCTTAAATTAAGTGTATTCACCCTTAATTTGAGTAGGTAAAGGAGATAGTTGCCAATGGAATAAGGAGTTTTACTTTTAAAATAAGATAATTAGATAATATGCACTTGAACTAAGGCAATGCAATTGTGTTTTCTTATTTTAAGTGTAAATTGTCATGTTCCATTGGAAAAATGTCTCTTTTACCTCCTCAAATCAAGAACAAATACAGTTATCTAGATTTAGATTTTTTGCAGTGTAAGTATTATTGTTTTTATCATAATATAATATGTATTACGTATAATACATATATTATAATTATATAATAATTATAATTATTAATATTATTATAATTTTTTAAGTAAATGCATTTGTTCTTGGATTGAGGAGGTAAGTGAGACATTTTTTTCAAATGGAACAAGATCCTTTACATTTATAATAAAAAAACACAATAGCATTGTCTTATTTAAAGTGCATATTATCTAATTATCTTATTTTAAGAGTAAAAATACTCATTCCATTGGCAAACTATATTATTTACCTACTCAAATTAAGGGTAAATACACTTAATTTAAGACATTTTTACTTATTTCTAGATCGTTTTTCCAGTGCATCACCTTTGGGGAGCAGTGGGCTGCCATCGTGGGGTGCCTGGGGAGCAGTGTGGGGTTAAAGGTCTTGCTAAGAGACCCAGATTAATCGATTTGCAAACTAATGGTTAGTTGCAGCGATATTCACAGCGCATGTCATCTTATGGCACTTGGTTACATGTCTCTAAGGAAAACCAGCTGATTGCATCCAGTCACTGGATGAGCATGAAGACACAGTAGACATTCGTCTCCATTTTGCTGCTGATTCCACATCAATCCCTCAAACTGAGCATGCATGCAGCGACAGTGGAGGGAAAAACATTCTTTTAACAGGTTGAAACCTCCACCAGATCCAGGCTCAGTGTGAACCGCCGTCTGCTGAGGCCGTCTGGGTGTTGGAGGAGACACGTTAGCAAAGCTGGTGGGGAGTGGTGACCTAGTGGTCAGGTCATAGCATTTGGAATCCTGAGGTTCTGAGTTTGAGTCCCAATCCCACAACCTCCACTCTGGCTCTCAGAGCAGGACACTTAACCCCATTCCCCAAGGTGATGGGTTAAATGAAGAGTTAAATTTCTCCAATGAGAGATCAATAAAGTTCAATTAACAGTGAGCTAGCTCCACGGGTGGCTCTGACTGGGAAACAGTCAATAATCAGATGAACTCTGACCCAGTTTTAATGTCAAAATGATGAAGGAGAGAAGATCCAGTTAGGCACAGTAATGTCTGGGAGAGAAACAGGACTAAACACTGAAAAACAGCCCCAGCTCTATCATCTATAACTGAAGGTGTTGACGGCAGCAGTCCAGCTGATATTTATCTTCAGGATGATGTCACAGATGAGATAGTAATTTATGGTTCAACATAATATACACATTAAAAGGGCTGAGCTGATGTTCTTTATCTGTAATTACATAAAAGAAATCTAGATGCCTGCAGAGACAAACTACCCTAAGAAACATAAAAACTCATTCTTACTCCTCTTTAATAGTATATTGTTATAAATAATTCATTGTTGTATTTGTTTTGTCCGTTTTTAGTTAACATACTAACCCTAAAATGTTAAAGTAGGACATTCTACAAGATGGTATCACTGCTGCCACCTTCTGGTTTAGAAGAGAACTGCTTGTTCCAGTGGAGGTGAATTACATCCACATGGGAACAACCAATCACCTCGTAGGAGTGGCCATTGATCGCCCCCCTCTGGATCAGCCCCTGTATATAGAAACAGTAGATATTGTAGAAGTTTTTCATCCTTTCTTGATAAATTATGTGAGGCTGCAACTAATGATTGTTTAACAAGTCGATTAATCTGTTGATAATAGCAAAAGGATCTTTAAAGAATGCTTTTTATGAAATGAAATGAGGTGAAACTAAAACTTTTCCGCTTGAGGCGTTCTGGATAAAGCAGATTGACAGATGAAAATGTTTTATCTTGAATGCAAAATTCTTACATTGCTCTTTTTTTCTTTTTATATAATTGCTGCTCTAAGTGGGCTTCTCTTCAGCTAAAGAACGTGTTTTAGACTTTCAACAATTATTCGATTACTATATCAGTTGATGATTATATCAATAATCAATTAATCTGATTAATTTATTCAGTCCTAATATTACTTAATACCTACTATAAGGAGTGAATTTTTTTTTTATTTATGTTGAAAAGTTTGAATTGGAAAAGTCTTTCTTCTGTTCAAATGTGTTATTTTGAAATTATTTTATTTTTAGTTGTTTTTTTTTTATCTTTATCTTATCCAGTTTGTACATAAATGTCTTTCTGATTACATCCTTTTAAATCTAATGTTACAAGGCCAATACATACTAAGTACTTGAAAAGCTATTTTACCAATTACTCTCACTTTAGTAATTAATTCAATGACTTCTATTCATATTGGAGTAAAAACAATGTTTAAAATAGAGCTAATATCTTGGGGCCATCAATCCACTTCTGTTTAGGAGAGGTGTATAGACTATATTTATTTTCTGTTCAATTAACTTGATTTCTATAGCCCCAATTCACAACACATGTCATCTCAAGGCATCTCATTGACTCGAATGCAACCCCTCACACTAAGCATGCTTGTAGCGACAGTGGAGAGGAAAAACTCCCTTTTTAAGAGGAAGAAAGCTCACATGTCAAAGGATGAAGAGAGCACATCCAGCCAGTCACAGTCAGAGAAACAGGGCTACACTGGAAAACAGGCCGATCTCAAGCATCTAAAAACAAAGGTGTTGATGGCAGCAGCACAGCTGATATTTCTCTCCAGGATGGAGATTCTGCAGAGTAGGAGAATAGAGAAAGAATGAAGCAGAATGATGAAAAGGGGGTTGCTTCATGCTTGCTCATCAGGTACAGGTTCATGCAACACGTGTTATCCAAGCTGGACTTCCATCTTCAGGTCCCCTAGTGAGGCTCTATTATCAGCTCACACAGTCCACTGGATCTCTCCAACCAGCAGTCTATGAACTGAACCAACTTCAACTGTCTCCACTCCCCCACCAGTTTCAGGTCTGAGGGGAAACATCCCTGTTCTTATACTCCTGTTCATGCATATCAAAGCAAAAATTCAGCGCTAATGTTTCCTGCCGGGGTCTGAGCGCCAAAAACTAAAGTAAGTGTATCAATAAAATTCTTCTAAATGTCTTTTTCTTTGTGTGTGAGTTTTTCAGATTGAAATGGTAATAATCATATCAGCTATACTACAATTCAACCCATGGTGGGACTGACCAGCTTAGGTGGGGCCCTTCTTCAGTCCTTAATGTTGACAGCTGTAAGCAGCAGGATATATATTTTATACAAATTTATATTTTCTGCTGCCAAATCATCCAGATATCTTTGCATTGCTCTTGTGAACTGCAGGCATATGATAAATGAATGAACCCAAATTTGAGAACATTTGCTATAAAGAATAATATTGAGGATAAATGATTATTTACACAAAAATACAAATAACAAAAAGGTGTTGATTTTCTTCTCATAGAAGATGGAATTTTATTATTGTGACGTTTTATCAGTAAGTTGTAATGTCACTAGATGGCAGAATATCTGTTTGATGTTAACAGTTAAAAACTGATTAAAAGTAGAGAGCTCTGCAAATGTAGGACTCCATGGTGGCAGTTGGCAAAAAAATTTCAAACTAGAGCAGAAAACTCGCCAAATTGACAGGAATAACATCTAAAAACAAGATTTAAATACACAAATGGCAAATATTTACCTTTAAAGTTACACAGCGAGATTGATCAGTGTCAGCAGACGTCAAGAAAGTTAATGTGAAACTTACCGGGATATGCTTTTTTCCGATGGAGCATGAACGCATCAAAGCCCTGCGCATTCACTGGAGTGTCACGTGGTGTAAATGGACCAATGAGAGAACGCGGTTTAGACAACCCGGAAAAAAAGATTTTGTACTGACAGGTCTGTTTTGATTTTCTGTTTACTCTGTTTTTTATGTCTATTTCTGCTGCTCTTGATGGTTTTTCTCGGCGGTGTTTGTTAAACAGATATGTATTTTGTCAAACAGCTTATTATTTGGTTTATTTCGGGTTAGTTTGCAGTTTTTAGCCCAAACCCGGTTCTATCGCATCGGTTCTGTTCAGAAGCACGATCATATTTAGAGGATTTATAGTTTCGTTTAAAGGAAGAGGGAAAGTGTTAAAACAGTTGGATAAATGCAAACTGTATAAAAAGCATCCCCAAATTATTTAAATATTGAGCAGAATGTCTTAATAATAAATAAATAAAATCTGCTGTTTAAAAGTGTTCATGTTTTTCCTGATGCTTTAACCAGAGGATTACTGTATAAAGTAGATTGAATGCTGTTTTTCTGTCTGTCTGTCCTGTTTTCAGCCTGACCCAGTCAGTCCATGGCTGACCACCATGACCTCGTTAGCCTCGTCCCCCCACAGGCGTGTGGTGCAGCAGCTGCAGGACACAGCTGGTTCCCTGGACCCCCTCCACCCAATTATTCCTGCACCTTGACCCCCGAACTGGTGGCCAAAGCTCGGGAAGAGCTCCAGGAGAAGCCAGAGTGGCGTCTACGAGACGTCCAAGCGCTGAGAGACATGATTCTGAAGGTTTTCAGTCCTACTTTTATATCTATATTTACAATGTTGTTGAGTGAACAGGTCTGCTGTTAAAAATCATTAAAAACTGGTTCAGCCAGCTGTCAAAGCACGGCGGTGGAGGTGTGTTGATTTGGGTTTGTTTGCAGCCATTATAAGCGTGGATCTTACAGTTAGGAGACATGAACACCTAAATATTTTAGAGGCAAAGACTAAAGCAGCTCATAAAGTACTGAAACCAACTTTATTACAAGGTTTCCACGGGTCATTAAAAATCATTAAAAGCCATTAAATTATTAGTTTTTAAGGCTTTATAAAGTAGCCCAACAAAGCTTTGTTTTTTGTTTAGAAAACATACAAATCGAAATGGATGAACGGGTCCACCCCTTTGGAATTGGGGTCGTTTGGCTTCTTTGTTAGCCTGCAATGCCCCGTACCTGTCTATGTCTCTGAAATGGCGGTTGTTAAAGGCAATTGTTGGCCTGGCTGAAAAGGTGAGGTCTTCTGTTCCCCTGTAAAGGGGTTGGGGGTCATGATGATAGCAGGAAGGAATCAACTTTATCGCTGCTGAGTCCCTCCTCTGTTTAAGGTTGGTTTTTCTTTCTTAACATAGATGGCTTCCTTCATGCCCCTCTCAAACCTCCTGTCTACTTTGTCCAAAATGTGAACGTTCTGCTCCTCAGAAGAATGTCCTTTGACCATAAGGTGTAGATGTACCGCAGAGTCTTGTCCAGAGGAGGGCGCTCTTCTGTGTTGGGCCATGCTTCTGTGGAGAGGTTGTTTGGTTTCTCCAATATAAAGATCAGAGCATTCCTCACTGCAGTGAATTGCAGACACCACTCTGCTCATCTTTGGTCTGGGAGTTTTGTCCTTAGCATTTTATTAAATTTATATATTTATATTGAATTTATATATATATATATATATATATATATATATATATATATATATATATATATATATAAAATATTGTAAATTTTCAAAATGTTTCTTTTCAAAATGTTCTTTTCTTTTTTATGTACTTTTTTCATTTTTATTATATTTCTTTTCTTCAGATTAAGTCTTCTAGATGACATTTTCTTCACTTTAAGCCCAATAGAAAAATTTGCTCTCATCCAATAAAATGTTTTCCCTAACATCCAGCTGACCAATAGAAATGCGTCTTCACTCCTCACTCCAGAGGAAAGGCCTCCTTTAGGAATTAAAGGAATGATTCCTGGAAAAATTGAAATTTGTAAAGTTAAATCTAAAAACCAGAAATTTAATATACAATTTAAAAAATCTGTAGCAAACAAATTGAAAAAAGAAAAAAGTTAGATAGAAAATAAAATCAGTTGTTTTTTTTAGATGAAATATAAAAAGTAGTTTTGAAAAAAAAACAATTTGAAAGACCAAATCTGAGAAAACAGCAAAGTTTCTCCCAAAACTTGTTTTTGATTAAGACAAGTTTTAAAATTTCAGTTCTGGACTGCATTTATTTCACATTTCAATTTACAATTAACCTTATAGCCATGCAGTTAGGGCTGCAACTAATGATTATTTTGCAAATCAATAAAAAAAATATTTTTATATAATAAATTAATAATCGGATAGCCAAAGGTTCCTCAAAAACAATTATTATTTTTTTTTTTTTACAGAATCAAACCAGGTGAAACTAAAACTTTTCCACTTGAGGAGTTCTGGATAGAGCCTTGTAACAAAAAAGAAAGACTTATCTTTATTTTTTACAGCGTGGGTTAAATGCAGTGGTGAATTTGTCCAACGTGAGGTCAATAAAGTTCAATTATTATTAATGTTATAATTATTTTATCGGTTAATAATCAGATAGCCAATGGTTCCCAAATGAAGACTTTTTACAAAATTAAAGTTCTAGAAATACATTTTTTTATCTTAAATGCTAAATGTTTATATATTTTTTTACATTCCTGCTCTAAGCAGGTCGCTCCTTCAGCTAAAGGCCTGTTTTAGAGTCTCTATACTCCAGTCAATGATTAATCGATTACTGAATTAGTTGATGATTATTTCAATAATAGATTAATCTGATTAAGTCTTTCAGCCATAGAAGCAGTACTTTTTATTGGTCAGTCCTAAAAATATTATATTTATTAAAGGCTTAGAAGTCTGTGGTTGAAACTGGTGAAAAAGGTCAGAAGTATGAATCTTTTCATGAATTGAAGCGATGATTTTATTTTCCTCTCTGACTTCCAGGAACATCCCAACCTCAGAACCAGGCTGGACGACGCCTTCCTGCTGCGCTTCCTGCGGGCCAGGAAGTTCGACTATGACCGCGCCCTGCAGCTGCTGCTTAATTACCACGCGGGCCGTAAGGCCTGGCCGGAGGTCTTCCAGGACCTGAAGCCGTCCACTGTCAAACACGTCCTGGACCTGGGTTTCCTCACCGTCCTGCCGAGGCCCGATCCCAACGGGAGATACATCCTCTTCCTCCGACCTGGTAGGTCTCTGTGTTCTTCTCGGAAGGAACCCAAACAACTTTTATTAGGATAATCTTTGTTATTTTGTCATTTTTATCTGTTAAAGATGATCTCTCTGTGTCTACTGTACACCTTGGAGCTTGGTCTCTCCTCTTCTTAACCCTCTCAGGCTCAAATTAAGTTGTAGTTGCAGGAAAAATCTGATATTTGGAGAAAATGATCATATGGCCTAGTAACATACAAGATCAGACTTTTTTTGACTGAACACTGAGGCTGTTTAGATGCCTGTCGAAATTCTTGCGCTTTCTGAACCACTTCCCGAAGCGGTCACGTGGTTTCGCGGTAGCGAGGCCTCGGACGTCATCAATTTTGGCCCCTCCTCTAAATGTAACACGCCTCGACACGCGCTTCGGGGAAACGCCCCCTCCATTAATCGACACATTCCTCGAAGCCTCGGCTCATCTCATAACATCACTAATAATTCTCCTACCATATCGCAGGGAAATGGAAAGCCGACGACTATCCCTTTGTGGACAACGTGCGAGCCATTTATCTGACTCTGGAGAAGCTGATCCAGCCTGAAGAGACGCAGGTGAACGGGATCGTCATCCTCGCCGACTACACGGGGGTGGGAATGTCACAGGCATCCAATCCAGGCCCTTTTCTTGCTAAAAAGGTGGTGAGCATTCTGCAGGTGAGACCTTATTTAACCTGTTTTACTTTGATCAAACCAGCCTGATTGCATCCCAGTCATTAGATTGTTTAATAAACATGGATTACCACAGCGGTCCGCTGGGCCTAAAGTTATTGTCATGTTCTTCAAAGTTAAAGTCATGTTTTACTTTCTTCACATTTGGAAAGTTCTTCTGTTTGCAGATGATATTTCATTTATTGTTTTCTGTTCTGGTTAGAATTTACGCTAGATTTGGGAAATATCAACAAAATAAACAAATAAACTAAAAATTTGGTTGGAAGAAAATATAGTATTAAATCTGACAAAAAAAAATAGATCTAAATATATAATATTTTTAAAGTTAAAACCACAGGAATTACAGGTACTGTTTTTAATAGACAATTTTTTTTCGTAGTTTATTTTTTATAAATGTTTAAACGGTAATAGAAATAAAACTACGAAAAAATAAATAAATAAATCCATGACCCCACCAAGCAAATCAATCATAAAAAAAATCATAAAGTAATAAATAAAAGGACATTTTTTTCGGGTTTCATTCCAAGGTTATGAGGTTATGGATACAACTACAGTGAAACATCAAGGTAAGGTGGTTAATTACACAGAAAACGTTTCCATTTTTCCTGTACTGTTCAGATGTTTCTGAGGGAAGAGGTTAATGGTTCAATTCCATAGAGTTTGTTTTTATGTTCCCGTATTCAGGAGCAGTTGGTGGTTTCTCCTTTAATTCTTTCTATGGCCTCTTTGCTGCCTGTAGTTTCTGGAAGAGGTTTCTGCTCCGCTTCTTTAATCCAGATAATCGCTAAGCTAGAATACGGTTAAACTCCAGTTTCAGCTCAGTTTACTGGTCTTAATCACTTCTCTCCAGTAGGGGGGGATCTTAGCGCATTCCCAGAAAACATGGGAATGATAGTTTCCTCCTGCATTTACAATCATTGTTATTGTCACTACCCGATCCGTCCTGCACATGCAGGAACAGAATAATTTCCAGCTAGGCAATACTTCATTTTTCTTAGTTGTTTATTCTTCGTCACGCAATACGATGGAGAGAATGTGAAACGTATCCATTCCTTCCAGAAAAGTCTTCAATATTTTCTATACGATGTACTTTAGCATTCTTTAATGTTTTAATACTGAAAAACATTAATGTATGAAAAAATTACGAATAACGGCCGATTCCAATGCCAAAATCGATAAATCATGCATCCCTAGAAGTACAATTTCAATTCCATCCATCCAGAAAAATATGGATATGCTTCATTTTAAATATAGCACATTTTTTTCTTGTAAACTTTCTTGCATCTTGCATATCCCAGTAAATCTGTTTCACCTTTAAATCTGCAGCTCTCCCTACTTCTCTCTGTTTAAAAAGATTTATGAACCTCTTTACTAATATAATGATGCCAGAAACAAAATGTCTAGATATGTAGAAACTCCACAGTCTGATTCTGTCTGTTCAATAGAAAACATGTTTAATTTTAACCTGTAACTGGGAGTCATGGTCCTCTGAGAAGCCAAGCTTTTTTAAACTGGTAAAGAAGAAGAATTCTGAGATAAAAGTCAGAATTCCGAGATTAAAGTCAGAATTACGAGATAAAAGTTTGAATTCTGAGAAAAAAGTCAGAATTCTGAGATTAAAGTCAGAATTCTGAGAAAGAAATTTTCCCATGTTAAACTGAAATAAAATTAAAAAATCAGTAACTTATTTTTTCAGTAGCCCTAATCCTCTTCTGTATATTTTAATACTAACTTGTATAAACTTTCCGTTTTTGCAGAAAAAGCTCAGTGTGTCTAACGAACGGATTTTTGGTGGTATCTCTAATTTTTTTCAAACTTTTACTTAAACATCGAAATAGCTGCGGTTAAATTCTTTGAGTGCTGCTGTGGGTCTCTCCTCCAACCACGTAGCGACTCTGTACGTCAGCGAAATGCGACCGCCAATCAGACGTCTCAAAGAGACAGATGATGTTAGACCGAGAGGCGGGACACTGGAGCAGCGCGACAGAGGAAAAAAAATTGACTCAAAACGCAAAAACTCAAAAAAAAAAAAAAAAAAAAATTTTAATGAGTGGAAAGGGGGACATGTCCACACGAGTCCTTCAGAAAGTTACGCCTGTGGCAGGACGGATCAGGTAGTGCCAGTTACCATGTTTAGTATTTTTACTCTAGTGAACTCTGGAAGTAATAAAAACCTCCCAGGATTATTCCAAGTTAATTCCCCCCATCTGTTGTTTTACCAATGTTTTTATTTCACAGTATTTTTATGTTGTTGTTTTTTTTTTATTCATCTGTTTTCCAAGCTTCTTGTTCTCATTGTCGTCATTTTTTAATCAACAGGACGGCTTCCCCATCAGAATCAAGGCCGTTAACATAATTAACGAGCCTCGTATTTTCAAAGGCATCTTCGCTCTAATCAAGCCGTTCCTGAAGGAGAAGATGGCAGAGAGGGTAACTATTGACTTTTAATCATCTCTTCCACTAAATCCATCTCTCCGTGTTGCACCTTGCTTTTGCATTCTCTTCAACCCTGAAGAAAATAAAATGCTGAACATTATTGAATCAACCCTAAAACTAAACGGATTCCTCGAGGGAAACATTCTCTTCAATCAAAGGCACCAGGAAAACTTTGGGGAAATACTCCAACTTGTCCGTAAAATTCAGAAAGAGTTGAGAACCTCGTCTAAACTTTGAATTATATTTTATTGTAATATGGTATACAATTACCGTATATTCTGGACTATAGAGCGCACCTCACTTTGAGTTACGTGCATGAAATTTTTTGAATAACTGGAAACTTGAACATATAAGTCGCACTGGGCTGTAATCCACTGATACCTACTGAACTGTGTCCAACCAAACCTGTAGGGGGAGCTCTACATGTAGCCCCTGGAGTAGGGAGGAAGAAGAAAGATTGATTGTAAAAAAGAAAAAAGTATCTTCTTGAGAAGAACACAGGAAAGTCCGGACGGACTCTGAGAGAACGCATCTAGGTCTTTTTTTCTTTTTCTTTTTTAAATAGAACTTTATTGAAAATTTTGTACAAACATGCAGACATATAGTTACATAGAACATTAGACAGGTGCTCTAATAACAAAACAAAAAAATAAAGAAAATAATGAAAAGGAGTGTACTTACGCTATTCTTTGAAAAATAGAACGCATCTGGGTCACTTGGAACAGAAGCTTCCTGATGACATCATCACACACTCGGCTCGTCTGGAGCTGCATTTCACCTCCTGTTAGTCTCTAGATAATAATAAATTATTACTTTTTTTTTCAATTTGCTGGGGAATGATGGTAAACACAATCGGATAAACAAAAATAAAATGAACATTTTGCCAAATAAAACAAAACGATATCACCATCATAGCCAGCGGTCCTTCACACGCGGCTTTGCAGAGAGAGGGCTGCTGCAGACGGGCTAAGATTAGACCCGGTGTAGGTACCAGATTGACTCGGGGGGCCTGCGCCTTTTGATGACGTCACAATACATAACTGTTTTAACGTTTGCACAATTGCGCAAAACATTTTCATTGGTCTGGACAGCTTACTAAAGTAATTCTAGCGGGGTGTAGGTTTTATTCGAAAGCGGGATTGCGGTTTGTAAACGGACAATTTTACGAAGAAATTCTCCATGGTCCCTGCGCCTTCCGATGACGTCACCGAATTCGCCATGGGCCTTGCGCCTCCCGATGACGTCACATTATGGCAACGCCACTCAAACAAACTACATTGAGCCCGCGCTCTGCATTTGTAACGACAATAAATAGAGACCGCGGGCGCAATGTAGGTTGTTTGGGTGGAGTTGCCATATCGTTACGAGTGGCGTTGCCATATAGTGACGGGCGGAGTTACCATATTATGACGTCATCAAAAGGCGCAGGCCCCCGAGTCAATCTGGCAGCCCGAGTCAATCTGGTACCTACACCGGCTGCTGTTACCCTTGGAGCTCCACCGGTTGTTGCGGTCCTCTGAACTTCGGAAAAATAAATTTAATTATGCATTAAATCTGTAAATGGGCCATATAGTGATGCTTAAAAGTATAATGTTCTCGACTCAAATGATCTTTAATCGTACTTTTATTGAACAACAGCAACAGAAAAAGAGAACTTTGTGAGCCCCCCATTGAAATCTGCTGCTGCCGCAGTGCATGCTGGGACAGCTGTCAATCTCAAGAACCGACAAGTCTGCCCTGATGCATGCTGGGTAAAAAGAGAGGGGCGGGAACAACATCTGGGGACTTTGTCCGTTCTCTGTCTTCTTGTTGTTGTGAATTGGAACAGCACTAGGGCTGAGGCTGATGACGTTTCACAAGCACATGAGAACTCACAAGTAAACAGATTGAGAGACGGCCAAAGGTTGAGTTCTTTTCATGGTAAAAGTGATCAGTTTGTAGTGCTCACATGACAAAGAAAACCGAAAAAATCAAAATAATAGTGAAAGCTGCTGAAAAGTATCTTGAAGTTAGAGATTTAAACTGGGAAAGGGTTGAAAGTATGATGGGAAAACGAGTAGGACCATCAGAAACTGGCAGAGTGACGATAACTTAAAGATAAATTGGAAATAATGAGGACGAATTTGATTAAGTATTTATTATGTTGGGTTGAATTAAACAGTTCGGAAAAATATTAATTAATTGTATTATTATCACTTTAACTACTTTGCCAACCGCCATAAAAACTTACAAGAAGAAGAATGCTAGCTACTGTTAGCTTTTTAGCTCGCAGCAGTAAGACCTTCTACTGAAAGATGTGGCTTCATCTGCTCTTTATTTCAGCTCTGCAGGAGTTGAAGCTTTAATGCAGCAAATAAATGTCAAAATGTGTGAATTTAGAACATTCGTTCTCCATTTTGCCTGCTGCTAGCATGTTCTTGTGCTAAATGAAAATGAGCTCCTTATTCTTTCATTTCCAACTTTAACTCCCCCCTCTTGCTTCGAAAAATCCACAGAAAAGCTGCACCTTCTTATAAGCCGCATGGTTCAAAGCGTGGGAAAAATTAGCAACTTATACGGTAATATGAAAATAGTATGTCAACTTAAAAAAAAATTATTAATTTAGCGCTGGTTGTCTTTCAGTACCGAAATATGTCATCTGCATTTTTGCTTCAGGAACAGTAACGTTTTGAAACACTGACCTTTGCGGTCGCTCCAAAAAATTGTGTGAATTTTGTTCCATATATTTCCAAATTGAACCTTAAAAAAATTCCATTCAGAAATGAAACTTAAGAAAAAAAAATTTTTTTATCAAAACTAGATATTACTAAAACTGAATCTAAAAAACAGAAAATAAAATAAGAAAATTTAAGATTTTCATAAATATAATTAAAAAAACTTTAAATGAAAACAATTGAACATGAAAAATTAAATAAACATTTAAAAATAAAAATCTGAGATAAGAGCAGTCAATAATCCTCTTTTTATAATAAAAGAAATTTCAGTTAAATTTTGAATTGCATTTTTTTATTTCAATTCACAAAATGTGTTTTTTTTTTTTTTTTTTTTTTTTTTACTTTCAAAAATATTGAAACAAAATTCACTCCATATACACTATATTGCCAAAAGTATTTGCTCACCCATCCAAATTATTGGAATCAGGTGTTCCAATCACTTCCATGGCCACAGGTGTATAAATTCAAGCACCTAGGCATGCAGACTGTTTTTACAAACATTTGTGAAAGAATGGGTCGCTCTCAGGAGCTCAGTGAATTCCAGCGTGGAACTGTGATAGGATGCCACCTGTGCAACAAATCCAGTCGTGAAATTTCCTCGCTCCTAAATATTCCACAGTCAACTGTCAGCTGTATTATAAGAAAATGGAAGTGTTTGGGAACGACAGCAACTCAGCCACGAAGTGGTAGGCCACGTAAACTGACGGAGCGGGGTCAGCGGATGCTGACGCGCATAGTGCGAAGAGGTCGCCAACTTTCTGCAGAGTCAATCACTACAGACCTCCAAACTTCATGTGGCCTTCAGATTAGCTCAAGAACAGTGCGCAGAGAGCTTCATGGAATGGGTTTCCATGGTCGAGCAGCTGCATCCAAGCCATACATCACCAAGTGCAATGCAAAGCGTCGGATGCGGTGGTGTAAAGCACGCCGCCACTGGACTCTAGAGCAGTGGAGACGCGTTCTCTGGAGTGACGAATCGCGCTTCTCCATCTGGCAATCTGATGGACGGGTCTGGGTTTGGCGGTTGCCAGGAGAACGGTACTTGTCTGACTGCATTGTGCCAAGTGTAAAGTTTGGTGGAGGGGGGATTATGGTGTGAGGTTGTTTTTCAGGAGCTGGGCTTGGCCCCTTAGTTCCAGTGAAAGGAACTCTGAATGCTTCAGCATACCAAGACATTTTGGACAATTCCATGCTCCCAACTTTGTGGGAACAGTTTGGAGCTGGCCCCTTCCTCTTCCAACATGACTGTGCACCAGTGCACAAAGCAAGGTCCATAAAGACATGGATGACAGAGTCTGGTGTGGATGAACTTGACTGGCCTGCACAGAGTCCTGACCTCAACCCGATAGAACACCTTTGGGATGAATTAGAGCGGAGACTGAGAGCCAGGCCTTCTCGTCCAACATCAGTGTGCGACCTCACAAATGCGCTTCTGGAAGAATGGTCAAAAATTCCCATAAACACACTCCTAAACCTTGTGGACAGCCTTCCCAGAAGAGTTGAAGCTGTTCTAGCTGCAAAGGGTGGACCGACGTCATATTGAACCCTATGGATTAGGAACGGGATGTCACTTAAGCTCATATGTGAGTCAAGGCAGGTGAGCAAATACTTTTGGCAATATAGTGTATATCTGGCTGAATATGTCAACTAAGACGTTCCTTCCTTCCATCCATTTGGTTTTTGGAGCGTCGATATTAAACCTGATCGCTGTGGACAAACCTGAACTAACGGCTAAAGAGGGAGGCAGAGTTTTGGGAATAAATCTAGTTTCTGCAACGATAGGGGAATAAATAATGTGCAGGAATCTGATATTAAAATCCTTTTAAAAACTCTTTCAAATTGCTGAAAGGTTACAAACATAATGCATGCAGGTTTACTAAAACATGTCTCCTGTGTCTCTTTGCATAGTACGTCCTCCACGGCTCAGACCTGCGTTCTCTGCACCGGAACATCCCACCCTCCGTCCTGCCGGAGGAGTACGGCGGCCCCGCCGGCCGGCTGGACGTCAGCGCCTGGTCCAGGCTGCTGCTGGACTGTGAGGAGGAATTCATCGTGGAGTTCTGCCAGCCGGATCCACTAAAGGGCGTAGTGCTCCCAGAGTCCATGCTGTTTGATGGAGAAGAGGCTGCAGGGAAGGAGGAGGACACCTTCAGAGGGCTGCGCTCTCAGCTTTACTACTGTTACTGATGTTCCCACAGCCAGTCACTGAGGGAACCTGTCCTGTTTCATCTGAAACATCCGTTTAAACCTTTATTGGGCGACTTGTCAATACTCTACATCATAGATTTTACACTATTTAAAATCCACTTTACTTTCATAGGCGTCCAGTATTTGGTGGCCCTCCAAGGCAGCTCCACGCTTTCTGCTGAAGACACGAACTGACTCGAGTTCAGACTCTTTTCCTGTTTTTTTTCACCTCCACTGATGGTTAAATTATAAATTTATTTTCTTCAACAGTTCCATGCTTGGATGGTTATCACTTCTTTAGGGTATGAAATCTACTTTAATAGATAAAAATATAAAAAAGATCAAAGTTTTTTTCTTAGAATCACAAACTCTAAGTTGTTCTGTTACAAAGACTCCTTTTAGAGTTTATTTGAATCTAGTCGGGTAAATTTTCACAGCTAGAAAACATTTGATGGTTGGATGTTTATGTGTCGGATTTAAAAGCTACAAGATATTTGTAGATAAAAAAAAAAAAAAAACATATCAGATGGTAATCAATCTCTCTAATAATTGACATTTTTGTGTAGATTCAGTCATATTTATTTTTTATGTTTTTGTTTTTTTCAGCCGATTCTAATTTCTTATTTTCTTTGAAGTTTGTCCCAACCGTTATGCTTTTTTATCCTCACTATACCCTGAATCTTATTTTTGAAAATCTCCAAAAAGTCAATCGGCAGCTCCTGATTGATGCGTTAATAGACCAAACATGTTCGTAGTTTAATTGCATTTAATCAACCGAGCTGAGGTGCATCTTTGAACTTTTTGTTCTGCATCTTCTCTCTATCTGTGCTACATTCCTGCTATGGATGAATCAAAACTCTCACTACGGTCAAATACTTGTATTCATAAAAACAACGTGATAATCTGGACTGATGCCACTTCTATGTCTGACAAAGATACCAGTATCAAAACAGAGATCTTGGCTGTATATGGAGTGAACTTTGGTCCATCATTTTAGCTAGTTTCGTAAATGGAAATTTGGAAGAAAAAAAATGCATTCCATAAATTAAACTTCGAAAATAGTAACTTTCATCAATGTTTTTATTTTAGATTTTTTTTTCCTAATTTAATTTTGTAGAATATTTTTCAAATTAAAATTTTTTTATGTATATTTTTTAGATAGTTTTACGAATTGCATTCTTTTTAAATTGTGTTTAGAGATTACATCATTTTATCTCTGGAGGGAGGAGTGGAAAAGCATTTTCCAATTGGTCTGCTGGATGTTAGCAACAAGTTATTAATTATTAACAAGTTATTAATTAATTGAACTGGGTTTAAAATGAGGAGAAGGTGATTTGCAAAACACAATTTGAAAAGAATGCAAATCATAAAACAAAATCTGACAATAAGAAACTATAAAATGAGATCTGAGAAAACAGCCAATTTGCTCTTGTAACATTTTTTTGATTAAGATGTTTTTCCATTTCTGCGTTTAAGTTTTTCAAATTTCCATTTAAAAAACATCTTTTTTGCTGACAACAATAATAGACCGAAATTCACTCCATACTTCTCCCTGTATTTTTTGCAGCTGTTACATCTTTATCAATATGTACTGAAGTATTGAGCCAGTTTGGAGAAAATCAGCAGCAGAAAATACAGATATTTGTGTTTAAATGTAAAGACTAATGTAAAAAGACCTCAGAGAAATAGGTAGTCAAGTAAAGTACAGATACCAAAACAGCTACTTAAGTACAGTAAAGTATTTATACTTGGTTACTTGAGACCTCTGTAGTTCCAGTGGTTTTTGCGCTTGCATCATCCCACAGTCCAGCTAAAAACATATGAGGACAGTTTAAACATGCAACCAATGAAAACATTGCCTTAAATTGCTCTGATGGTTGGGTTACGCTGTTTTTTTGTTGTTTTTTTTGCACCTTAGATTTGTTTCTGTTGTTGTCCAGAGAGTTTGAAGTTCATTAAAGGTGGCTGCTAGTTCAGTTTCAAAGACTTTGTTTAGTCAGTCTTTAGAGTTTTGTTTTTTTTAAGTTTAGGTAATCTGCCTTATATTTGTTTTTGGATGATTGTCTTAAAAAAATGACATAACATGACTTTATTGACATCTGACTTGCCAAATTGTGAATGAAAGTGCAATAACATTGTCTGGATCGTCTCTCGTGTGTCCGACGTTGATATTTATGTCCGACCTTTTATTTTATTTTTTTTACATAATTCATTCATGTCTGTGACTGAGCTGTATATTTACTGCTGATGGTTAAGACAGTAAAGCTGTTATACAGAAAGTGCTACCTGTGTGTTGTTGTGCTGTTGGCAAATAATTGGGTCTACCAGAACCCCCAAGGGAGGCGGTTGGTATTTTCACAACATAGCTGTGTGTGTGTGTGTGTGTGTGTGTGTGTGTGTGTGTGTGTGTGTGTGTGTGTGTGTGTGTGTGTGTGTGTGTGTGTGTGTGTGTGTGTGTGTGTGTGTGTGTGCGGGTGTGTGTGTGCGGGTGGGGGGACGGGGTGGGGGGCGGGGATTGGGGGGACACAGAAGACATTTTACGATCTCCTGGGACTGTATGTCCTGAGAACAAGCTGTGCAATAACCTGGAGATTTAAACAAAAACACCCAGGAGGTCTGCCTATGGAGTGAATTCTGTTCCATTGTTGTTGCAAGCAAAGAACACATTTTGAAATTTGAAAAACATAAAATAAAAAATACAATCCAGTAATGGAACTTTTTAAATTTTGTTAATTGAAAAAAATACTGATTTGTAAGTAAATTTTTCATATATTTCTTGTTTCTTCCCATTTGGTTTTCCAAGTTACTTTTTTAAGTTTTGTAAATTAAAGTTTTGTCATTTAATTATTTTTTATTTCTGTTTTTACGATTGAAAATTACATTCTTTTTAATTTGCATTTTATGGATTAATTTCTCTTTTTTTCTGGGGACGGTTTTTCCTTTTCATGATTAAACATGCATTTCTGTTGGCCTGGATGGAGAGAAACATTATATTGGTCAATGTGCGCATTGAGAACGAGTGTTTGTATGGGGCCTGAAGTGAAGAGAATGTGATCTGTAAAATAGAATCTTCAAATAATGCAATACGTCAGTGTTAAAAACAGGGAAAAAATGAAAAACAAAAAAATAATAATTAGGAAAAACAAATATTTAAGCAGATAAAATCTTCAAATTTTCTTTCAAACAATATCATGAAAAGTGAAAGTAACTAGAAAAAAGGAAATAAAATCTGAAAATGTTTTACATTTATTCTGCATATTTTACTTTCCTTTCACAAAACATTTTTGTTTGCATCATTAATGGAACAAAATTCCCTCCATACATCTCTGCCTCAAAAGGCCCCAGTTTGCATATTAGATGCAAATATGTTTGTTGGAGTAGCTCCCTGTAGAGAAGCTGTTTTCTCTGCAAATAACATGACACCATCACATAGAAATGCAAAGTTAAACCTAGACATTTTAGCATATCTCGTAAAAATCTCATTTTGACAGATGAGCCCATTTCTATCTTCTGGAGCCTTTCAATCTTGCTTGTCACTAGTATTCAATTCAATTCAATTTATTTCTATAACGCCAGTTCACAACACATTTAATCTCAGGTCACTTTCCAGTTCACCAGATCATCCAGTCAGATTGATTCAAAGTTTTCTATCTAAGGAAAACCAGCTGATTGCATCGACTCATTGACTCTTCAGCAATCCCTCACACTAAGCATGCTTGTAGCGACAGTGGAGAGGAAAAACTCTCCTTAAACAGGAAGAAACCTCCAGCAGAACCAGAACCATTATGAATTGTTATTTAAAGAGTTTATCTAGAGTGATCTCTTTTCAAGAAACAGAGCAGTGAGGGAAAGCTTCAAGGTGTAGACACAGAGCTTACCTTTAACAAATTAAAGACAAATAAAAAGCTACTTTGAAATCCAGAAGCACAGCTCCTACTGGTTTATTTTAATCTAAACCAGTCCTCACTTACAGAGAAACCTTGGCTTTAACTTTGCTAAACTTTTGTAAGAAGGTTATTTTCACCTAAATATTTTATCTTTTGATTATAAACATCTTGTTGTTGTAATAGTTTACAAAGCATGCTTGTAGCGACAGTGGAGAGGAAAAACTCCCTTTTAACAGGAAGAAACCTCCAGCAGAACCAGGCTCAGTGTGAGCGGCCATCTGCTGAGGCCCACTGGGGTTCAAGGAGACAGAAGCAGACATAGAAAAAGAAGCATAGATACAAAAGGCAACAGTCAACCAGCTCCACAGGCGGCCCTGTCCAGGAAACACACAGCCAGGCAGACGAGCTCCGAGCCAGCTCCCATGTCAGAGGATGAAGAGAGCACATCCAGTTAGTCACAGTCAGAGAAACAGGACTACACTGGAAAACAGGCCAAGCTCCAACATCTAGAAACAAAGGTGTTGATGGCAGCAGCACAGCTGATATTTCTCTCCAGGATGGAGTCACAGCCAAACAGGAACAGACGAGGCTGTTGAGCTATCCTAGGGTTCAAAGGTTGTAAGGCAGAGTTCAGGATGGAGAGTTTGCAGAGACAATATGGAGAAAAAACAAAATAATGTTGTTTAAAGGTTTGGTAATGACGCAGAGCAAACTGACTCTTTGTTATTATCATTTTGTATACAAAACTAAATCTCGTTTTGTACAGCTTTGATGACATTTCCATTTCTTAGAGTGCAGCAGTGAACATGTGTAAACAGTGTGGGAGAATAAACATAGTGCAAAAAACGCATTGATATGGAAGTTCAGAGCATTAATATCTATGGTGCAAATATGCAGTATTTTTGGTTTGGTTTTATCAGTTTGATGCAAAACTAAATCCAAGTAAAGTGATACGTGGCGTGAAATGTCAATTATGGGGGGGGGGGGGGGGGGGGGGTGTCTGAATCACTTGAGGGAGGCGTTATAGAGCTTATTGCCCACAGGCAGGAATGATTTCCTGTGGTGCATCTGGGTAGGATGAGTCTTCTGCTAAAGGAAAGGAAGGAATGTTCTGGAATCTGGAATGAAGCTGTTCTGGAATCTGCTGGACCTGCATTCGATTCTTCAAAGTCTCTTCCTGGAGGGCAGCAGGGAGAACAGTCCATGGTGGGGCACAGCGCTGGGATGAGCCACTCTATTCTACTCAAATAGCACATGGTGGTGCACCACAGGGCTCTGAATAGGTACCTCTTGTTTTTCCTTCACATATTAATCCTTTTTATTTCTTTCGAGCCAATATTGACCTTTTTTTTTTATATCTGTACTCTTATTTCTCGTAGTTTGATTTCCTCCAGCCACAAACTTATTCCAGGAACAGAGGGGATTGGTTCTGAAAAGCTGTGGCCCCCAGGGCTCTGTATTGGGACCTTGTCTTTTTATATATGTATTTATTTTTTTGCCCATGGCCGAGCAGTTCCCTGATGTCTTTGCTTTATATTGTTATTCAGCTCTATTTTTATTCTAAATCAACTAGATATTTTAAATTGTGTTCCTTTATAAACTATGTTAATGGTATTAAACACTGACTGTGAAAAATTCTGGCACGTAAATTTCTATAAGACATTCGGTCTACAGCAAATATTTCAGCGTCATATTCTAATGATTGTTGCTAGATAGATAGATAGATAGATAGATAGATAGATAGATAGATAGATAGATAGATAGATAGATAGATAGATAGATAGATAGATATATATATGATAGATAGATAGATAGATAGATAGATAGATAGATAGATAGATAGATAGATAGATAGATAGATAGATAGATAGATAGATAGATAGATAGATAGATAGATAGATATATGATAGATAGATAGATAGATAGATAGATAGATAGATAGATAGATAGATAGATAGATAGATAGATAGATAGATGAAAGATAGATAGATGTATGCTAGATAGATAGATAGATAGATATATGATAGATAGATAGATAGATAGATAAATAGATAGATAGATATATGCTAGATAGATAGATAGATAGATAGATAGATAGATAGATAGATAGATAGATAGATAGATAGATATATGCTAGATAGATAGATAGATAGATAGATAGATAGATAGATAGATAGATAGATAGATAGATAGATAGATAGATAGATAGATAGATAGATAGATAGATAGATAGATAGATAGATAGATAGATATATGAGATAGATAGATAGATAGATAGATAGATAGATAGATAGATAGATAGATAGATAGATAGATAGATAGATAGATAGATAGATAGATAGATAGATAGATAGATAGATAGATATATGCTAGATAGATAGATAGATAGATGTATGCTAGATAGATAGATAGATAGATAGATAGATAGATAGATAGATAGATAGATAGATAGATAGATAGATAGATAGATAGATAGATAGATAGATAGATAGATAGATAGATAGATAGATAGATAGATAGATAGATAGATAGATAGATAGATAGATAGATAGATAGATAGATAGATAGATAGATAGATAGATAGATAGATAGATAGATAGATAGATAGATATATGCTGGATAGATAGATAGATAGATAGATAGGTTTTACATAGATTGAATGACCGTAGTTAGTATAGGCTGTGTATGAAAGGAAAGAGAGTGAGAAAACCTCATTTTATCTTTTTTCTGCAGAGTGGACATCAATAATAGTCTGGATAACTTAAAGGAAAATTAGATTTTATTGCACTGAATTGTTATTCTGAAGACTCTCATGGTTTCCTGTAAATGTTTGACTTTTTAGACGTTTAAGAAGTGATTTTTGAAGCTGTAAAGCTCGTAGTGAATTACTCTTATATCATACTTTCACTTTGTTGTGAACAGATGATAAATCATAATGTTTTATATTATATTTTCACTGCTAGGGAACTTCAATATATATATTTTTTTCCTAAAATCACTTCATGGACTCATTCATCATGATTATATCTGCTGTAAACTTTCCTCTCATAAATAAAACGAATAATCGAATACCATTTTCTAAACGTCGAGATGTTTCCAGGTATTTACAGGGACTGTTTGTTTACAGGTTAAAATTCTTGTTTGCATATCAGTTTGATGAAAAGAGGAAGTGCAGCCAGTAGTTTAGCATTTTCCTGATTTTTGGCTCTAACACTGAACACCTAAATATATGTTGTTTATATTTTTACACCATGTGGACACAGATAAACCTAAAATCCTAAAGGTAATAATATCATGTAAAACATAACAAAAAGAACAAAAACATTGTGACACTTTTCAAGAGAATTTGGCCTCATTTCCCATCAGAATTACAATAAATAATTAGTGATTTA